ATTTCCTTGAGCACGCCCTCCTCAGGATCGGGAGCTCTTAGAGCTTGTGTGTCAGTACCTCAGCTGGCAATACCTTTGAGTTTAACATCAGTTATTTGGGCACAAGGCGAGATGTAACATAGTATGTGTAGACTTTCAACATTTGGTTTAGTGTTTTGGTTCACAAAATTTCTCCGTAAAAATCCGAAATTTAAAAGGAATGCCTAACTCGGGGGGTTCTCGCAAGCCTTCAGTCCGCAAAGATGCCACTAGCCCGGTAAACGTTGGTGTGGAGGGCAGCTCGTGCTCCGTGCCGGCGACAGTGCATCGCCGCAAGCGCAAGAAGGTGGCGCGTGTTAAGGCCGGAGCACAGGCGCCACCCAGACCCGTACGTGTACCAGTGAGAGTAGGCAGCTCAGTCACACCAAAGGGTATACGATGCAGTTCCTCTACTCCTTATCCAACAGGCATTGCGCAGTAGAATTAATGTTGTTTTCCCTTCAATCTTCCACTCCGGCGCTGCAATGCGCCTCCTTAGCGGACGGAGGAATCCGTAAGGGAGGCAACGGTAGCGCCTCTGGCTCTGGTGCCAAGTCAGCTCGTGTCCCGCCGTCTTTGAGCATAGCTGATTGTCAAGTCAAAAAGAGTTCACTGTCACGAAAGACCGCTGGTGCGTCGGTGATCGCCCCGATCGGGAGGAGTGGCAAAGCTGAGGCCAGCGGCTCCCGCAAGGTTAAATTCTCGACTAACGTGCACACCTATCCGGCCGCCGATAAGAAGACGCGCATTGGCGAGCTGCATCTCAAGAAGCCCATTAAGAAGCTCAAGCGCAACCGCCCGCTCTCCTCGGGTGGCGGAAAGAGCGTCGCGAGCAAGCTTGAGCTATCCATTGCACAGAAGTCCGGCTCAGTCCTGCGCCGCGACGTGCAGCACAGTGGCGCGGCCATAGACGTCGAACCTGTGGCAACTGCGCGCGGTCGCAAGGCGCCATCGCCCTTAGCCACCAAGGCGTCCGTAGCATCCAAGGCATCCGTAGCTGGCGCAGCTCGCAAGGTCAAAAGGCTGACGAAGTCCCGCATCAAGGCCGGCACAAGCAATCGCCAACCGGTGGTGACTGCAATTAGACCGTGTCCGCGTTTGGCCTACTCCATACAGCCGGATATCAAACGAGATATTTTACTCCTAAAAAGCGCACCCAAGAAATAAGACGGCGCAGTTTGTGCGCTAATTGTAGCTCAGGTGTCACACGCCCGTGACGTAGTTGCTTGCAATGGAACAATCCAATGGCGATAAGCCCGAGAAGCCGAGACAAAAGTCCGATCATCGCTTGGCCCAGCCACAGCTACAGCCGCCATCGCAGCAGCAGCAGCAGCAACAACAACAACAACAACCACAACAACCACCACCACCACCACAAGAACAGCAAAATCCGCAACCTCAGCAACAGCAACCACAATCGCAGCAACATCAGCATCAGAATCAAACGCCGCACAGCAAGCGCCGGATTAAAGAGACGAGCTCCACAGAAGAAAGTCCCATAAAGAACGAGCTTGTCCAGCATAGAAAACCCTTGAAGGGGGGCGTTGCATCACCCCCTCCTGTTGATGCGGTTGCCAAGAAGCGGGTAAACACGCTGACCCAATCACACACACACTCACGCTTAGTTAGGTAGTCTCTTTTGTTGAACAGGGTGTGGGGGGATCGCTTGTAAGAAGATTCCCACAGATAGCATTGAAATAATGTATAAAAAAATAAATTCGAAATAGAAAAACCAAAATCTGTATTGAATAGTTTGGGAATGTAGTTGGAACAGATTGCTCACACGATGTTGTTGTTGTATTTGTGCGTTGATGGCATTTAAATTAAATTTGCTCATGTTTCTTGTGTCTAGAAAATCACCGAGGAAGCCGCAGTCGCCTCCAAGTCCAATAGCGAAGCCATAATAGCGGCGTCTGGTCCAAATACTTCCACACAAGCAGCTGCCTCCGCATGTGAGCAGGATGATAAAGACAAGGAAGACGACAAGGACGCCAAGAAGAAAAAGAACCGATGTGGTGAATGCCGCAAGAAGGTTGGCCTAACTGGTATGGACAATAATAATATATATATATGTATATATGATTATTCAGTTTTCATTGATTCTATTTCTATTTACCCATTCTGTTCACAGGTTTCCAGTGTCGCTGTGGCGGCTTATACTGTGCCGTGCATCGTTATTCCGATAAACACAATTGCACCTTTGACTACAGAGAGCATGGCGCCCAGGAGATTCGACGCAATAATCCGGTTGTAGTTGGCGAGAAAATTCAAAAGATTTGAATTGCGAGGAGAGATTGTGCCAGTAACAGTAGCCGTAGAATAATAACAACTACACATTATGATATAGTATATATATACACACGCTACGCACCAACAAATCAATATAACAACAAAACAAAAAACTCCAAAACATAAGAAAACACACACACACACACACACACACGCATACACCAACACAAACACAAACACAAAATACATTCACACTCACACGCACACAACATACACTCACAACACCCACACATGCATATAAATATATATGTATATGTATATATATAGTAACATATATATTTACATATATGTATATAGATGTATATGTATTTATAAATACTATAAATAGTTGTAATTGTAATTTAATTATAATGTGAACAGTAACATGAAACAATAGTACAGAAACGTTAACCAAATATCACGCAAAATCAACAACAACAACAACAACAACAACTACAACAACTACTACTAGAACAACTATAACTACAATGGCAACAGCAAAAAAAGAACGACAGAAAGAAACTGTATGCAAATGCTCGCATAGCAGTGGCACCATCAAAATCAGCAGCAAAAATTGGTAGTAGCCGCCGCAGCAGCAGCAGCAGCAGCAGCAGAAGCAACATCAACAAGAGTAGCAGCAGCACCAACAGCAACAACAACAACTGCAACAACAATCACCATTACAACACCAACAACAACATAAATTTTAACTTAAACCAGACGCGTATTAGCGCGTTAGCAAGCAATCGTCGCTGGCTGTTGTTGCCTACGAAGAACGGTGACCTGTGAGACAACACAGAACAAGCAACAATATATATATATATAGACAACAACGGCAACAATCGAAGCACCTCTAGTTTGTTATTCCTATTGCAGGTTGCAAATGTTTTGTATTCAAAGAAAGCCTCGTCAACAACGCAGCAACAAGAAAATACGCATCAACAAATTGTTAACAATTACACGAAAGAAGATAAATTTTATGTAGCCAACGTGTGTAATTTGTGTTTGTAATGTGTTGCATGTATAAAAAAATGAAACGAATAGGCCAAAATACAAAAATGCAAGCAAAAAAAAAAAAAAAAAAATTTAAAATACAACTTAAACTCAAATTTAATTCAATAGCAACAAAAAAGGAACATCATCTAAAAAAAACTATTTCATAATTTTTAATTATTGATTAATTAATTATGTATGTATATGTATTAAAAAAAAAAAGCAAAACAACAAAAAGGCAAAACAAAAAAATGAAGCAAATGTATAGAAATTCCTTTGGACAAATATTGAAAAAATAAAAAA